TTCGAGGCCAGCCTGAACCACACAGCAAGACCCTGTCTCAGAAAGAAAACCCAGAAGCTCCAGTTTGTTCACTCCATCATACCATTGTTCCTGCTTCCAGCACTAGGTGCCTGGGGACACAGGAAAGACACAATCCTGCTTTGCAGAGAGTCACACGTGAATTAGGGAGGCAGACAGAGAAGACAAGGTAAAGACACAGGAACAGGCTCTAACGAATTTGTTTCCTAAAGAGAGTGATGCTTTAGGCAAAACTTGAAGGTGATGGAGTGTAGTGGTGTAAACCTGTAATGCCAGCATTCTGGGAGGCTGAGGCAGGAGGATTCAAAAGTTCAAGCTCAACCTGGACAATTTAGTGACTTAACATGACTCTGTCTCAAAATTTAAAAAAACTAAGAAATAAAGGGCTACAGGGGGGCCGGGGATTTAGCTCAGTGGTTTCACTGCCTGCTGCGCAAGCGCAAGAACCTGAGTTCAATCCCCGGTTCCAAAAAAAAAATAAAAATAAAATAAAGGGCTATAGAGGTAGCTCAATGTGAAGACCCTAGGTTCAATCCCCAGTGCTGAAAAAAAATCATTCTCTGCACTGTCTATTGTAGTAGCGACTAGTCACCCATGGTCACTAAAGCACTTGAAATAGAACTCGAGAAACTGCAGACTTAGTTGCATTTAAACTCATATTTGAAAAGTGAAGCAGAAGCTGGGCCTGGTGGCACACCTGTATTTCTTGGACTCAGGAGGTTGAGGCAGGAGGATCACCAAGGTCAATTTTAACATTATAAGCTGTCTAACCCAATGAACCCTTCTCTTTCTCAGTGCTGATGACTGAGCCCAGGGCTAGGCAGTCTACTACTAAGTGACTTCCCCAGGCCTCAAATTTTCATTTTAATATGTTTTGGTTTTTTGTTTGTTTTGAGACAGGATCTTTGTGGTTCAGCTTGAATTTATTTAGTAGCCCAGGCTGGCCTCAGGCACTGGGATTACAGGAGTTTCCCACCACCCCCGCCATAATGAATGGGCTCACCCAGCCTGGACAGGAAAATCAACATTTCGCACCTTGTTCTCTCTGCACTCTAAGGGCTTATTTTCTACAGCGTTTTCAGATTCCGAGGAAGCTCTGCTGCACTTAGCCGGATAAAGGAAGACTAAAAAATAACATGCTGGGAGTCGGGACGCTCCTTAGGAAGAATGTTAGAAATGCGAGCGAAGAGTAGAGTTTGCTCGGGCGTCTCAGGGCCGTCATCGGATTTTCGGATGCCTGAAAAGTCAGTGGCATGGGTCGAAGAAAGAGTTTTCCCTGCCTTTCCCTCCTGTTTGAAATTCTTTGATTTCAGTGTTGTTTTCCTCCGTGGCAAACATTCCCCCCCGCGATAGGGGGCGCTGGACTAGGATTCACAGGGTGCGGATATCGATCCGCCTTTGAAACCGAGGGGCCTCGGTCCTCAGCCCGCGTCTTCCCCTTCTTCCGGACCGGCCTGGGCCTCCCTCCTCCTCCGCTTCAGTTTCGCGTAAGGAGAGGAGCTCTCAGGAGGACGCAGAGGGCACGGGGTGGCCGTGGGCACCTCGCCCTGCTGACCCCGCGTGCCCACTTCGGGCAGCGAACCCCACCGGCTCCGAGGCGAGCTCCCTGCCCGGCACTGGAGCTTCCGGCCCGACCCGGCCTCCGGAGCCTTTGTCAGTGCACTTTAGGTTCTCATTGTAACAACCCTCTTTCGCTACTGCTTGATTTTTCTTTTAATTTTTCTTCAAAGACAAGGCTTGCTACGCAGCCTAACGTAGCCGCACACTCATAACCCTCCTGCCTCAACCTCCCAAGTGCTGGAATACAAGCGTGAGCCACTACGGCCGGTTTAAACCAGTTTAATTTTTCTAAAGATAATATGCTCAGATTAAGATAAACAGAAAAAACCCTTTCATCTCTCTTCTTTCTTACCAAGAAGAAAATACTTTTTTTGTTTGGTTTTTGTTGTTGGTGGTGGTGGTGGTCGTGGTGTTTTTTGTTGTTTGGGGGCAGGGGTTGAGACAGGGTCTCGCTCAGTAGTTCAGGCTGGCCTTGAACTCACTTAGGTAGCGAAGATTGGCTTCAACTCACCGCAATCTTCCTGCCTCAGCCTCCCTAGAGCTGGGGTTAAGACCTGGCCTGGTGGATGTGGTGGTGCAGGCCTATGATCTCAGCTGAATCAGGAGATCCTAAGCTCAGGCCAGCCCTGGCTAGGCGGCCAGCGCCGGGACTAGAGAAAGCTCGTCTCCGAGAAGAATCTGGTTCGTCCAGGTCCAGCGCCATGAGTCTGGATTCTAGGCCCCAACCAGAACCCCCAGGAAGATGCGTGTCCTCCCTTGGGCTCCTCGTCAGCGGCTCCACGGGCTCCTGGCTGAGGGGCCCGGGCTGCAGGCCTAGGGTTAGCAGCTTGGCCACTGGCGCTCTCCCCACAGCTCTTTAACCCGGCCTGAGCCGCTGCCCTTACCTGAGCTTATCTCCTTCCTGCCTTAGCCAGCTCCTTCCTTTCCTGCTCCTCCTGCTCAGCCCTCAAGGGTGGCGCAGTAACCAGTTGTTTGTCTCCCTCTTTTCTTTGAAGGAAGTCACCACCCAAGACTGATAGGGTGCTGATAGTCCTTTCTACTCTGGCGAGACTCGGGTGCCCTTGTCCCTCTTTTAATTTTTCAGAATGGAAGACGGGAAATACCCAATTTTATGAGGGTCAGAACTTTTTTAATCGCATTCATAAAAAGTCTCGAGTTCTTGGAGAATACCTGATCCGCACTAGCATGTGCTCAGCAAGTATCCTTGTGGGTGAGATTGGCCGGGCTAGAAACCCCAGTGCTTCTCACAAATTCCTGGTCCAGACCGCCCCTTGCCCCTTCCCTCCCCTTCAAGGCTGCAGTCAGAAGGCAGCCGACTAGGAATCCCCCCCCCCGTTACACCCCTTCAAGTGACTTCAGATCCGACGATCATCGCCGCTCAACTCTGCTCCATATCCGATGCTTTTACTCTCCAGTGATTGTAGAATAACCAGCTGCCTGGCAGAGGCCACAGCAGAAAGCAGTTTATCCGCCCTCCCTCAAGGCCCTTTTGGTGGGGCGTTTTGTCTGTGAAACTAAGAGGCGTCGCTGCTTTCACAGGAGGGAAGGATGCGCCTGAGCTCAAAAAAGAAAAAAAGAAAAGCCCCCGCCACCGCCAGGGAGAGAGCGGATGTGGGGAGCGAGTGCCTGGAAGGGGCGGCGCGGGGGCGGGGCCTGGAAGGGGGCGGGGCCTGGGCGCGGTTTCCCCCCCCCCGCGGAGCTGATAAAAGCGGCCTCCACATGATGCTCCGAGCGCGGAGCGGGGCTACCCGGCGATCGAGCGCGGCTTCCTCTGACTGCACAGACCTTCCTAGGACTAGGACGCGAAGAGGACCGGGACCATGGGGAGCTACAAGGTAGGGGGGGTCGCGGTCCTTGGGGCCTCGCCCCGTCGGGAAGGTCGCGGAGCAGCCCCGCGCGCGTGGTTTATGTAACCGCGGGCCGGGGCGCAAGTCCCCCCCACCTCGGGGTGAGAGGGGCCGGCTTGGTTTGGGAACGCAGGGCCCCATGCAGCCATCTGCCCTGTGGGAATAGTAATCGGACCCCTGGAGTCCCCGGATGCTGGGGAAACTGAGTCCCGCACGACCTTGTGATTGCGGAGGATGGACTGATGCATTAGTGTTGTGGGCGCAGTACCTGTAGGGAGAAAGGCATTTTTACTCAGATAAATTCATTTAAAAATGAAAGTATGAGAAGAGATAAAGAAAAATGAGACACGAGCATAGTGGCGCATCCCTGTAATCTCAGCACATGGGAGACTGAGGCAGGAGGATCTCCGTGAGTTTAAAGGCCAGCCTGGTCTACACGGTGAAACCCTGTCTCAAACGGGGAGGGGGAGGTGCAGTGGAAAAGGCCCTCTAAGATGGTGAGGAGAAAAGAGGTTTTCAATAAAGGAAGATTTAACAGCAAACATCTGGCACAGGCAGGGTCGTCCCAGGTAACCTGGGCTGAGCGGGCCCGAAGGCCCGGGGAGAGTCCTCCCCCGCAGCGCCCAGCCTGCGTCCACCTGACCGAGAGGAGAGGCCGGCCTTGAAAACGAGGAAAGGTCGGCGGATTGTGGGGGCTGCCGGGGACCTCAGCCGGCAGCCACTGGGCACCCGCGTCGGGGCCGGACAGCTGGGGGTGCAGGGGCTGCAGGGGCCCAGCCTGCCGGGTAGCCGCCAGGGCCGGCTTCCGCGCCGTCCTGCGCTACGGCGATCTTAGGTCTCCTGCATCTGGCTGTTTCCGAAGGATCAGTCTTTTCCTCTGCCTGCCTAGTCCCTTTTTTTTTAATGTGCTTTTTTTCTGGTTTATTTTCTTTTCATCACATATAATTTGAACCCAGCATTAGTTTCTCACATCTTAAAGTGTCTCCAACTGCCTTCCTAGTCCTAGAGCCAACTCTGTACTTGCCTTTACCTGGTACTGTACAGCTGTTTTTAATTTTGCTTTTGTTTTGATACCGGGGATCTGCAGGCAGCAGAACCACTGAGCTAAATCCCCGGCCCAGTACAACTGTTTTAATGCTTCTAAGCCAGTTCCTATTTTAACTTCCACAAAATTTAAAAAAAAAAAATCTCACTACATTTTTGTCCTCTTCATAACCCTCATAGGTCAAATTCTAATACAGTGTATCTCCACAGCCTATAATAGGAGACCATCATCAGTGAAAAAGTTTTAAGGGCTCAATAAAAAAGCCAGGTATGGTGGTGCAAGCCTGTAATCTCAGCACCTGCCTGTAATCCCGGCACTCGGGAGGCTGAGGCAGGAGGGTTTCTCGAGTTCCAGGCCAGCCTGGGCAACATAGCGAGGCCCTGACTCGAAAGAAAAACGGGAAAAAACTGTAAGGACCAACTGGGGATGGTGGCGGCCCCTGTAATCACCGCACCCTGGGAGACTGATGCGGGAGGGTCGCGATCTCACGTTCTAAGGGCTGTTCCCTCCCTGTGCCGTTCTACACCCAGGTGACCCCACCTCTGGTCTTTGCTGTCACCATCGCTGCGATCAGCTCTTTCCAGTACGGCTACAACACTGGGGTCATCAATGCCCCCGAGATGGTGAGTGTCAGGCGCCGAGTAGAGCCGCAAAGGGAATCTGGAAGTGAAAAGTGAATCTGACCGCTGGGGCTGTCACTCCGGGGTGGAGGAGCGTTGGCCTAGCATGCGGGAGGCCCTGGGCTTCATCTCCAGGACTGGGGAAAAGTCTGAATTAAAACTGTGTCTAGCCTATCTGGGCTAAGCCAGAAGGTGGTGAATGTGTTGAGTCATTTAATGAAGGACCGAAAACTCATTTCCCCAAACCCTGAGCTGCTGGCTCCTCCTCTTGCCCTCCGGGGTGGTACAATGTCCTAGTGATGCTGGGCGGACCACGGCCGCTGCTGCCACCTGCTGGGCCTGCTGGGACAAACCTTCAGAATTGCTCCCAGCGCCTTCGCGTCGCGCATCTCTCCACTCCCTGGCTCTCCCTGTAAGGCAGCAGGAGGAAGTGAACGACGCCTGGTGTCTGTGCAGCTGTGACAGGCTGTCCTCCCACCAGCCGCTCTGTTCTGCAGATCATCCGGGAGTTCCTCAACACCACCCTGTCTCAGAAGCTCAGCGAGCCTCCCAGCCCTGGGCTGCTCACCACCCTGTGGTCCTTGTCCGTGGCCATCTTCTCCGTGGGCGGAATGATCGGCTCCTTTTCCGTGGGACTCTTTGTCAACCGCTTTGGCAGGTACGGGCCACAACCTGGCCAAGAGTGGGCTGACGGACAAACAGAAAATGAGGGCAGGGAAGTGGAGGCATCACATTGAAGGCCTGGGGCCTGGGCCTGGTGTGACTGCCCTTGTGTGGAGCCCACCCGCCCTCAGGTGCAGCCCCGAATGCTTTATTTAGGTCAGAATTATTTGCTTTTCTTTAAAAAAAGAGGAGGCCATGAAAGTCTTTATTTTACATAGAAAATATTTTTGCAAACCTTGGTTTGCGGTAAATGTGGACAATGGCCAAATAGCTGAATTTTTTTTCCCAAAGAGAAATAATCATCTCACTGGACACTTATTAAAAATATCTTAAAGGGTAAAATGCTTTCAGAATTGAAAGAACCATTTACCTTGTCATTAGATATTCTCTGTGTACTTAATATTTGTGAAGCAACCTGTTTGGTTTTATAATGTTTAATTTTGTTTGATTTCTTGTTCTGGGGATGAACCCAGGCCTCAGGAGTGCTAGGCATGGCTCTCACTGCTGCTGGACATTTAGGATTTAGGGTCCCTGGGGAGCTTTTAAGACCCAGTGCCAGGCTGAACCCCAGTCTCACTCTCATCAGGAGAGGTGTGGTGCTGTAGGTTTTCAATGCTAATCCTTTTTTCGTGTGGTTTTTGAGATTGGGTCTCCCTGTGTAATTCAGTTCAGGCTGGTGATGAACTTGTAGAGATCCTCTTGCCTCAGCCTCCCAAGTGCTGGGATCACAGGCATGCACCATGCCCAGCTTCAGCACTAATCCTCTACTGCTGGTTTATATCATGTTTTAGTGCTTTGCCTCCTGTGCTTAGCACATACACATGTTAGTTTATTTTTTATACCTGTTGTCAGTTATACCTGTTGTCAATACTAGTGGTGAATGACATCACCATAGTCTAGCCTAGAGAAGGAGAGCTGAAGCTGACTGCCTTTTGAGTGTAATTCTCTGTGATGGAGAAACATTTTATTTGAAATAATTTAAATTCAGTACAATATTCTTTTTTTTTTTTTTGGTACCAGGGATTGAATTCAGGACCATGTGCTTGTGAGGCAGGCATGGTGCCACTGAGCTAAATCCCCGGCCCTCAGTACAATATTCTTGATCTCTATACAACTACAGTGCTTGAAATGCATGCAGTAAAATGCATAAAAAGCCTGGGGACTTAGCATATCTCCATTTTTGTCCTTTTATTTTTATTTTTTTGGTACTGGGGATTGAACTCGGGTCCTTGCACTTGCGCAGCAGGCGGCAAAACCACTGAGCTAAATCCACAGCCCTGTCCTTTTATTTTTGAGACAGGGTTTTACTAAGTTGCCCAAGCTGACCTCAAGCTTGGAATCTTCCTGCCTGAGCCTCCAAAGTAGCTGGGATTACAGGCGCGTGGCTACCATGCCTGGCCTCCAAAATGTCTCTCAGGGGTCAGCTCTTCCCCAAGTACTGCCTAGGGCAGTGGCTCTCAGACTTCCAGCTTGCATCAGACCACCTGGAGTGCTTTTGAGTTTTTCTTTTTAAAATGTTTACCAGTGCATGTTGGCAGTGTAAGATGACATTCCTTGTGGGAGTTGTGTACATAACACATCTTAATTCTTTTTACTTCCCCCTGGGGGGGGGGCTTTTTAGAATAGGTTCCTGGGCCTGCCCCTTGGGTAAGACCTGACGATTAATCTAGGTGAAGCGGGAGAATTTTAAATTCTAACAGATTTGTAACTTGATGCTGTTAGCTTGTGGCCTACTGTGAGAACTGTGGCTGGGAGCGCTTGCTAAATAAAATCCTAGGCTAGGTGGGCATGGTGTTACGTGCCTGTCACCCAGCACTCAGGAAGCCGAGGCAGTCTGGGCTGTGTAGGGAGTTCAAAGCCAGCCTGAGACCATATCTTAAAAAAAAAATCCTACAGGCGCCAGGGATTTAGCTCAGTGGTTCTGCTGCCTGCCTCAAAAGCTCAAGGTCTGAGTTCAATCCCCGAAACCAAAAAAAAAAAAAAAAAATCCTAGGTTACCATTGAGTATTTATTGCAAGAGGAATCTCAGACAAGAGCTGGGGTGAAGGTCAGTTGGTTCAACGCCTGCCTAGCCTGGGTCAGGCCCTGGGTTCAATCCTCAGTACACCAAAAAAAGAGCTTGAGTTTTCTAAGTGAGTTTTATACATAAAGAGGTATAAAAACTATTGATTCAGGTTACTCCCAACTAGAAATGTTATGCTAATAGAAATCACGAAAGAAAATTTAAAGCAAAAGAAGGGAAACACAGGCCTGGAAGGAGCAGGAGGAAGCGGGGGGAGGGAGGGAGGGAGGCCGACCGGCCAGCCGGTCACACCCCGCTGACCCGATGAAACCCTGTGAAACCCCACAGGCGCAACTCCATGCTCATGGTCAACCTCCTGGTGGTCGCTGGTGGCAGCCTCATGGCTTTCTGCAAGATGGCCAAGTCGGTGGAGATGCTGATCCTGGGCCGTGTGGTCACAGGCATCTTCTGTGGGCTCTGCACAGGTTTTGTGCCCATGTACATCGGAGAGGTGTCTCCCACCACCCTGCGGGGCGCCTTTGGCACCCTCAACCAGCTGGGCATCGTCATCGGGATTCTGGTGGCTCAGGTACCCTGGGTTTCTCACACTGAATGAGTTCATTTGGTGCCCATTGAGTGAATTCACATAGATAGCGCACTCAAAAGAATAGATGGGGACATACTGAAAGATACATATTTCAGATAACATGGTTACTATAACTTATCACTTGTAGCCAACAAAGCCAGCAGGGTAGAAAAAGGAAAAGTACAATTTTATGTTTTTCTATGGTAAAAGAATGACCCAGGCGTGGTGCCACATGCCTATAATCCAAGCACTTGGTAGGCAGAGGCAGGAGCATCCCACAAGTTCAAGGTCAGCCTGGGCTACTTAGTGAGATTGAGGTCAGCCTGAACCACATAGTGAGCCCCTATCAAAAAACAAATCAAAAAAAAAAAAGAATGGCCTCTTTTAATGAATTTGTGAGCCAGGAAATTCGGGGTTTATGACACTATCTCTGATTTCTAGATCTTTGGCCTGAAATTCATTTTGGGGACTGAAGACCACTGGCCCCTGCTGCTGGGCTTCACCATCATCCCAGCCATCTTACAAAGCATAACCCTTCCGTTTTGCCCCGAGAGTCCTAGATTCTTGCTCATTAACAGACAGGAAGAGGAGCGTGCTACGAAGAGTGAGTATTCCTCACTTCATGCTTACTCTGGGACCCGGGTTACCCCCCTGGGGGACTGGGTGGGAGGTGTGTATGCTCCGGGCATGTTCCAGGCCGGGGGAGTGTGCATGCTTCGGGCCAGACTCCTTCCCAGCTGTCTGATGGGACCACCAACTTGGCAGGTGGGTGGCACAGTTTCTTTATTTCCACTCGATTCCTTCCCCAGTCCTCCAGTGGCTATGGGGCTCCCAGGATGTGTCCCAGGACATCCAGGAAATGAAGGATGAGAGTGTCCGGATGAGCCAGGAGAAGAAAGTCACCGTGCTGGAGCTCTTCCGGGCCCGCAACTACCAGCAGCCCATCATCATCTCCATCATGCTGCAGCTGTCCCAGCAGCTCTCGGGGATCAACGCCGTGAGTAGCAGAAAACTGCACTAGGCCAGGGCCACTCGTGTGCAGAAAGAATGAATATCAGGGAGACTGGGAAAAGACCTCACCTCCCGAGACTTCACAGCAGCTGTGTCTCTTGTTTCCTGCCAGGTTTTCTATTACTCCACCGGAATCTTCAAGGACGCGGGCGTCCAGGAGCCGATCTACGCCACCATTGGGGCAGGCGTGGTCAACACCATCTTCACAGTGGTGTCCGTAAGTTGTGGGCAGGATCACTTGGGACGAAAGGGCTCTCGCTCTCGATCACCATTTAGTGAAAATGTGGAGAGACAGTAGAGCAGTCTTCACCTTTCTATTCCAGCAGATACGGGGAGCGGGGGCAGCAGGGTTATGTGCGGGACTGGACAGGAGTGGCGTGGCCATTGCAGGCCCCTCTTTTTGTGAGCAGCAGTTTCCGTCCTAGGTGTTCCTGGTGGAACGGGCAGGAAGGAGGAGTCTGCACATGATCGGCCTCGGTGGCATGGCCTTCTGTTCCATCCTCATGACTGTCTCCCTGCTGCTGAAGGTGTGTGTCCTGTGAGAGGGTGGGGCTGGGGGTCTGCAGAGGGCACGGGTCACTGGGGCAGGGTGCGGGTTGCTGACATTGGAGATGGTTGGTAAAGGCAAATTTGATCCAGGCTTCCTGGTGCATGCCTGTAATCCCAGCTCCTTGGGAGGCTGAGGCAGGAGGATCACTATGAGTTTAAAGCCAGCCTGGGCTACATAGTTCAAGGCCAGGCTGAATGACATAGCAAGACCCTGTCTCAAAAAAGAAAAGCAGACCGTCTTGAGGCGGCCCATTTTGTAGGTGGTCTCATCACGCAAAGTGACATGAAATGGCACAGCTGGTATTCGAGAGCCCAGGCTCTGCCTGGTCCTCAAGCTGCCAGCGTTCACCTTGTGGTGTCTCTTGCAGGACACATACAGCTTCATGAGCTACATCTGCATTGGGGCCATCCTGATCTACGTGGCCTTCTTTGAGATTGGGCCCGGCCCCATCCCCTGGTTCATCGTGGCTGAACTCTTCAGCCAGGGGCCCCGCCCGGCCGCTGTGGCCGTGGCTGGCTGTTCCAACTGGACCTCCAACTTTTTGGTTGGACTGCTCTTCCCCTTGGCTGCAGTAAGTAAATGAAAATCTTGAAATCAGCCCACCTTAGCCAACATGTCTAAGACACCACAAAAATATTTATTGACTCCATGAAAAATCCGCTATCCAGGGCCCTAAGCCAGACTTCCTCAATTTCAGTGAAATACAGGAAAAAAACAGGTGGAAGGAGGAGTTCAAAGCCAGGAACCTGGAAAGAACCACGAGTCTGATGAGGTGGCATGCACTTGTTCTCCTAGCACTCAGGAGGCTGAGGCAGGAGGATCACAAATTAGGCCAGCCTGGCAGCACAGGCCCTGTGGACCACTCTTCTGAGGTGCAGTTACCTAGAAAAGAACAATCGTGAACCAGTTCACCCACAGTCTGAATTAGCATTGACTTTAAGGTCTTAAAGGCTCACACACCCAGCCCAGGATCAACAAATGAGCTAGATCTGTTGCAGAGTGACCTGGGGCTGTTACTTTGGCAACAGACTTCTAGATCCGTTTCCTGTTTATTTCCAAGAGGTTGTTCAGAAACCAGATTTTAGGTATAGTGACAAATGGTAAGTGTTTACCAGAAGCTGCCTTTGGTAAGTGGGAAAGGGTGACAGAAATCCCAGAGAAATGCAGTCGCTAAGAGTGGAGCTGCAGTGTGAGTGAGGCCTGAGGAGACACAGATGTGGGGCAGGTTGGGTTTGTCACTGAGCCTTCATAGCAACCTCTTTTTTTCTTCCACTAGGCCTCTCTAGGAGCCTACGTTTTCATTGTCTTCGCTGTCTTCCTCATTATCTTCTTGATCTTCACCTTCTTCAAAGTCCCTGAGACCCGAGGCAGGACTTTTGAGGACATCACTCGGGCCTTCGAAGGGCGAGGTGCTCAGGAAGCCGGGAAGACCCCAGCCGTGGAGCTGAACAGCCTGCAGCCGGTGAAGGAGCCGGGCGTCTAAGCCGCTCGGCCACCCGCCTCCTCCAGCACCGCGGACAGCGACTCCCGTGGGAGGCTCAAGGTGAACCCAGGACTGCTCAGTGCTGCTACCAGTACCAGTTCAGGCTCGGCCAGAGGCCAGGACCACCCCCTTCCGGCCCCTTCCCGCCCGGCGCCAGGCTGGCCTCTCCAGGCCCGGTGGGAGCCGGTGCCACTCCTCACCGCACAGCTTGCACCACAGTCCCTCGGGTTGTATTTATTTTACCTTCTGGTTTTATTGCATAAATATTTATTTTTTTAAGTGTAATTTTTCCAAATAGTGAAGACATAAGAAAGTGGAGGGGCGAGGGAGGTGTTTAGATGCTGTGGGCAAGGCGGGTTTGATGGAGGCTGGGGTGCCTGCCCTGCTGGTGGGGTTCAGGGAGAAGTCTTGTCCCTGGGGTGTGAGGGCCCCAGGCGGCTGACGCCCCAGCCCTTTCTGTGGCTCCTCGTGGAGACCGCGCTCATTTCAGGAAAGTCACGTGCCTGTGTAGAAAAACTGGTTTCCTTTGGAAGTCTTCTTTTAAGATTAGAGTTTATGTAGAGTATTACTTGAAATCGGGGACTGTTGCTCAGATGGCATTGTAATTAAAGGCAGTTGGTGGGTTTTGATTCCAGTGTGGCTGGAGAAGGCTGTCCGAAGCCCGCCCTCCCATCCCCAGTAGACTCACTGTAGTCCCCACCCTACACCCCTGTGGGGAGAACCCGGAATACTGGTTCTCAGGACAGCTTTGGTATTTCTCCACTGTTAAGATATTTTATCTGTTTTGATTTTGGGTTTTTTTTGGGTTTTTGGTACTGGGGATTGAACTTGGGTCCTTGTACTTGTGCAGCAGGCAGCGAAACAACTGAGCTAAATCCCCAGCCCTGTTTTGATTTTGACTTGTAGCTTTAAAGGAAGTCAGGAGAATCTTCATGGGTGATTTGGAATTTGGAACCTCAGCTCTGGGAGGGGGTTTTCCTGATCAACCACCACTCTGCTATCAGTATGTGGGGTCCATGTTACTGAGTCATGTTACTGAGCCGTCAGGTGCCCTAGGGACCTGACTCCTCTAGGGGACTGAGACAGCAAGGGTGAGTGTGCTGTCCTGCCTGGAGGAAGCAGCTCACTGGGCACTTGCTCCCTGTGTTGCCACCGTGGCCCCGGGGATAGAATGTATTAGCTTAGCCCTGTGTGTAGATGCAACACTGCCTCTGCTGGGTGGCACCTGCACCCAGAACTCGGGGTTCAGACCCCTTGGCTGTCCCTCACTGCACCTGAGGCTGAGGACTCAGCCTGTCCAAGGACAGGAAGGGGCGCTAGGCCGGCTGCGTGGCTCACGGGACACTGGTTGTGGGGAGAGGAAACTGAGAAGCAGATGCTTCTCATTGGAGGGGTCAGACAGCCCTCCCAGCAGCGTTGGCTCCTGCCGGTCCCCTCTGGTCCCCTGCTCCGCCTCACCCTCCCCTGCTCATCTCCCCCTTGGTGCTCACACTCAGTCCGTGGTTCTCAATCCCGCTGGTCACCGAGCCCCTGGATGAACTGAGCAAGAGGGAGCTGGGTCCCACTTTCCTTGAACTGCGCCTCCTGCCGCCAAGATCACTTGGCAGTCATGCAGGGTAGCCCTGTCCCCTTTCTCGGTGACCAGGTTGTAAATATTTCCACAGGGGTTTTCTACTATTCATGTTACTGTGGTTCTTTGTTTTGAAATAAAAATTGTAGACGTACATATCGCAGGTTCTTTTTTTTTTTGTACTGGGGATTGAACTTGTTGGGTCCTTACGCTTGGGAGAAGGCAGGTGACGGAACCACTGAGCTAAATCCCCAGCCCCCTCCACTTTTCTATCAGTGCTGTCACTCACATACTAAACATATTTGAAGAGTTGTCCTTTTTACCTCTGCTCATCCCAGGAACTTTGTTTCTAGCTGTGGTGCTGTGCATGTCAGGAAAGGCCCCTTGGTCCCAATTGATGATTTCTCCATAATTGCTCAGCCATGTCTCATGCTCGGCTTGGCTTCCTCTTTGTAGTGAATGTTTGCGACACAATAGCTGCAATCACCTTGCTGAATCAGCATAGCATGGAGTCCCCTCCCCCCTCCTGCTGATGCTCAGAACTAGTGATGTTGCCCCACCTCCCCCAGGAACACCGAGGACTGAACCCAAGGCCTTGCACTGAGCTGCATCCCCAGCCAACCTCCTTTTTTGCTTTTTAAAGACGCTGTCCAGGCTGGCCTCAAACTTGCAGTCCTGCCTCAGCCTTCGTGTAGTAACAGAGACTAGAAAACCGTGCACCACCACATCTGTCTCAGGGTGACTTTAGAATTAGTGTGGCCTTGCCCGTGTAAAGCTTTCCAATTATATGTCTTTTTTTTCATTTTTTCTTTTTCGGTTACATCTTGCCACTTAAAATAATATCCAGACTCCTTTACCATGCCCCATCGATAGATGACAACCCACGTGTCACACTCTGTTACTTCTCTTACCTGGCATGACTAGTAAGCTGCTTCTGCTCATTCTCAAAGTCACCCTCATTAACCTCCTACGGAAGAGGCTTGCCTGTCCAATGTCACCTCTTCCTCAGTGAAGGAAGTCCAGGTCTTTCCAGCTCACTTCCGGTCTCAACATGTCTCCTTGTGCTTGGAATATTCTGCCTCCAAGTTTATCTTAACTAATGAATTAAAAAGGGCTGGGAATGTGGCTCAGTGACAGAGCCAGAGCCCCTGGGTTGACTCCCTAGTACCATCTAAAAAACTTGCCAGGAGTGGTGGCGCATGCCTGTAATCCCAGCCCTCGGGAGGCTGAGGCAGGAGGATTGAAAGTTCCAGCCCAGCCTGGACAATCTAGGGAGACTGTCTCAAAAGCCGTGAAGAGAAAACATTTTTTAAAAAAATAAAGCCACGAAGAGGCCTGGGTTGTACTCAGTACCAGGGCAGGAGGCAGGGGAAGGGCAGCTCTGGGGCGGGAGGGGGCGGCGCCTCTGTCTGCAGCTGGGAGCCGGGCTGCTCTGAACGGCTGACAGCTGGAGACAGCCAGCGGCGGCACCCACCCGCCAGGAGGGCACCTAGTGCGGACGGCAGAGGTGCGGGTCTGCGCCTCCCCACCGCGCCCGCGCCTCCCCGCCGCGCCCAAATGCTCTGCCCACGCGCACCCGGCGCCCGCTCCCCCGGGACGGAACACAGGGCGGCTGCGCCACTCAGCTCCCGCAGACTGTTCTTGTCTTTTTTCCTTGTGTCTACTGGCGATGGAACTCAGAATCTCCACTGAGCCGCGTCCCCAGCCCCTTTTATTTTTTATTTTGAGGCAGGGTCTCATAAATCGCTCAACTGCC